TCATAAACCACTCCATTCACCTCCCTCCACTTTATCCATGCCGTATTTTTTCTGTTACTAATTTCTTCATATTTCTCTCTATCATCTTGTACAATAGACTCTGGATATTTGAGCCTGCATGCAGATGGTATATGCTGGTTATTCTATGCCACAAATGTGACACCGTGGGTACATTAACACGTTCAAGTAATGCAACATGATAAACTCTGGAGTTCTCTGAGCTGGAGTCAACTGTTCCCCAGCACAGTGTCTACACATTCACTTGGGACAGCAGCCCTGGGCTGGCAGCTGGTTTGTGGAGTCACCCTCAGGCTCTGGGTGGCAGAAGGCAGCAGAAGGGCTGGCTGGGGCATGAGGATGCAGAACCTGTGGAGCCACATGTCTAGGTGGCAGGCAGGAATCTGTCCCCCACCCAGTCACTGTCTACATGTGTGTTTTAGTGCAGTAAATGATTCTGCCATAAGGTAGTACTATCCCTGACAGTACTAACTGATGGATGAGCTAATTAATTTACTGTACCCTAATACAGGCACGTGTAGCCTGTGATGCTGTACTGCAGAGCTAATTAGTCAACTGCAGTAAAGTACACATGTAGATGTACCCCCTGTCACAAGAAAATGCACGTGGTGTGTACTTTGATTTTTTTTTCCACCTACTGATTGTACATCAGGCTTTTCCCAGCTATGCCTCCGTATGCTCGAGTCACTCTATCTCTCATTTGCTTTCTGCAATCAAAACCACATCACCTAAGAATCTAGTGTACCAGGGACATCCTTCTAAATGTCCTCTGCTAAGTATTGAGAGCCAGAAAATATAGAAATGGACTTATGATGGACCTTTGATATAGACCTTGTCTAGTAAACTCATGTTGTTTAGCCTTTATGCATGTTGTGCACAAATCTTAGACAGATTTCCCGTACAAGTTGTTTCCTCATGCACCACTATCACTTTTATTGATACATAGTCATATGCACCTTCCATATCAATAAACAGCAGGTGAAGATTTTTCTTGTTTCCTCTGTACCTCTCCATTACAGCAAAGCTCACATCAATAATGTGTTTAGCTTGAATACTAACTGATTATTACTTCCAATTTTGACTTCTCAAACTTTGTTTGATGATCCCTTTCTGTAGTTTCATGGTATGGTTCATGAATTTTATGCTTCAATAATTGCCACCGTCTTGTACAACTTCTTTGTTCTTTAAAATCATGCACCATAAGCCCTTTCCCCATACATTTGGCACTTTCTCTCATAATTTGATCTATTAAAGAACTTGGTAAGGAGACTTGCACCTTTGCAAGGCAGTATACATTCCATGCCAGTACTGGTATTCTGTCTAGTTCTATACTACAGCTTTCCAGTTTTTCTTTGCATCAAGGGTATTTGCTATTATTTTCTCCATTACTGATTTGACCAAGATTTGATTGACCAGAACTTTTCTGCACCCCTGCCTACAATTCTCTTCATTCTTAAGCCTGTTGAAGTAATTCTTCCACCTGTTTTATAACTTCCCCGATTCAGAAATCTTCCTAGAGTTGTATGTGGGATAATTCCATGGTTGTTGCAAACATAATCTCATGGTTTGAGATACGCAATATCTGTGAGTGGGGTTTTTTTGTTTGTTTTCCCGTTTTTGGTTTCTTTGGTACATGGGGAAGCAAAGCTAGATAAGATTTACTCCAGTGCCATTCTATGAGGCCCTGATGGGCAGGGTTTGAAAATAAGAATGTAAGGAAGATACATACTAACTTGGGTAAAAAAGAAAGCCAAAAAGAAACAAATGTCTGGCCACTCAGGCAACATCAGCACCACTAGTACAGATCCCAAGCAAGGATAAATGGGCAAGGGTGGCATCTGATAGGCAGCCAGGCATAAGAATGAGGCCAAATTTAAAATGTAAAGGCTGTATAAGTGTAAAAAGAAAAGCAAAACAAATGTGACTCCAGCAGGTATATTTTAAGAAAACCACTATGAGTTGGCCAAATTGTATTTTGTTCCTAGTAGCTACTGATTCCTGTTTGTTATATACATTTGGAAATTATTTTAAGCGCGTATTGAATGCTCCTGATTTTTTCCCTACCTTGCATCTTTTGTAGCCATTAGCAATAAAATGGGGTGAAAGGTTAGTCAGTGGGAGCTAGTAAAGATTTCTGGTTTTGCAGAATTTTAACTCCTTTTGCACTGTTGTTAACCATTACGCAAGGTGACCCTGAACTTAAATACTGGAGAATCAGTCCAGTGTCACTATTTTGTTGTCAGTGATTATGTAGTTTATCAAATACTTTTCTTCAGTGTATATTATACAATATTCAGTATGATTGTAGAGATGCAGTATATGTTAAGAATATAGTGAAATCTTCATTAAGTAATCAGGCAGACTCTAGGTATTTTGAGTTGGGTAATATGAAATCAGCTTTCTGGAAAGCAAAGTGGAGTGTGTGAAGCACATCATCTTGTAATCGGATTCTAAAAGAAAACACACTATGATAGTGCAGTGCAGAAAATCAAAGATTGCCATTCCCACTGAGCTAATGATATTAATGATGATATGTTTAATTTAAGTAGGATGATCAGCTTGAAGTTTTGCTGTTCATAATTATAACAAGCTGCCAGTGTTTGCCTGAAGCTGTTAGCAAAATTTTGACCCTGCTGGGAAAGAATTAAGAAGGTTTGGCTGACTTATTGTGGCAGGTGGCTCATTACTTCACCTGGATATAAGCAAAGTGGGAAGTGCTTTTATAGAGAAAAAGAGAAGATTGAGGATAATTAGTTTTGAAGTAGAAAGTTTGGGGGCAGCCAAGTCTGGATTTGAAGTATGAATTGAACTTTGTGTTGTTTATTAACATTTCAATTTAACATAAAATGAAGGGGGGAGGTAACTTGGGTTTTTTTAATGAGGAACAGACTGTATTTGAGAGGAGGTTGGTTACTGGAGCCACAAATTTTGGGGTTCCCCACTACAGAAAGGACATAGACAAATTGGAGAGAGCCCAGTAGAGGAGAATACAAATGGTTAGGGGCCTGGGGGACATGATTTACGAGAAGAGCCTGAGGGAACTGGGCTTATTTAGTCTGCAGAAAAGAAGACTGAGGTGGGATTTAATAGAAGCCTTCAACTACCTGAGGGCTGGTTCCAAAGAGGATGGAGCTAGACTGTTCTCAGTGGTGGCAGATGACAGAACAAGGAACAACGGTCCCAAGTTGCAACAAGGGAATATGTTAGGTATTAGGAAAAAATTCTTAGTAGGAGGGTAGTAAAACACTGCAACAGGTTACCCAGAGAGGTTATGAAATCTCCATCCTTGGACGTTCTTAAGACCAAGCTAGACAAAAGCCTTGGCTGGGATGATACAGTTGTGGATGGTCCTGCTTTCAGCAGGGGATTGGACTAGATGACTGAAGTACCTTCCAACCCTAATTTTCCATGATACTGTGAAATTAAATTTTAAAAAAGAGAAACTAAAGTTCAGATTTTCATATGGAATTGCTGAGTACCTCAGATAAGGGTAAAGTGTTACTTCTGGAGGTAAAATCATCTCAGTGTTTTGCTGGTGAATACTCATAGATCATTCTTAACTTCCCTGGGCAACACCCCTAGTTGGTTACATCATTTAACACGGATACAAAACCTGCTTCAGGGAATAGGGGATGGGGGAGAGGTGACAAATACTAATCTTACCATACATACGTGGTTTTCTCTTTTTTCTGAGCTAACCAAATTTCTGAGTCTGCACAGCTTCTATCTATGAATCTGTGCTTACAAAGAGAAAAAGCAAGGGTTCAATTCTGCTATGTGTTAAATCACTGGATCTGGAGCAATGGACTATAAAATAATGGGGTTATTCTAGATATGTATGTATGTACATTGGTAAAATTAGTCTGTTTGTATACAAAAATGTACTCCCATGGAAAAAGTCAAAGGTGCACAACTTCAAATCAAGTATTTCTTAGCACCGGTACAGCATCCAGCTAAAATGTTCCCCCTTCCACTAGAAATGAACTTGTGTGTGAGAAATGCAATCTCATTTAAATTATATCTCAGCTTGAAGGGAAGATGAGTTTGTTTTATGTAGCAGTCGGAGGTTCTCAGAAATATCCGTCAGTCAGTTACCAGAGTGGTAAATTAAATCTGGAGAGTGAGAGCTCGCTCATCAGTACACATTGATATGGAAGTGGTAAGGGGGGAGAAAGAGAACTGCATCAGGCCTAAGTGTTTATGTTCTTGATGGAAATGTACAAATCATTTCCTTCCTTTTCACTGCTGTCATGGTCCATCACTTTAGTCCATTTTCACCTTGCTAAAGGATTCTGAATGGGCCTTCCTGGTTTGGCACCCAATTAATCTCTCACAAGTCTGTTCTTGCAGCCTGACTGCCTGGGATGGCCCATTTCTTATGTCAGTGACTCATGAACAATACTCTCTTTCTTCTCCCTGCCCTGTTGTACATTGTCATCCCCCAAAACAGAAGATGTAGATTTCTGCTGCTTCTTTGGGAGGGAGGTGGCAGTTCTCTTATTCTTCTATTGTATAGGAGTATATATCCCCAGATCGGTTGTCTTCTTTTCTTCTTTTCTCCTTTTCTCTTTCTCATGTAAAACAATATGATACTATGAGAAATAAAGTGGCCTAAATTGTCAAAAGTGACTGGTGATTTTTGAGTGCCCATATCAAGACACCTCAGAAGGTCCCAATTATTAGAAAGTGCTAAGCAACCACTCTCTGAAACTGTAGTACTTTAACAGTATGTAAAATTAAGCACCGTAAAACTACTGCTTGCTTTTGAAAATCTAGGCATGCATATCAGCCCACATTCTCTCTCTTTCTCACAGGCATGTGCACATACACATGCACAATTTTTTAGCCCGAATTCAGCCTTTCCCTTCACATTAATATCTCTGAAAATAACAACTAAGAAAAATAAAATATGATTTTTGTCTAATCTGTTTCATTCTGCTTGATGGTAAGTGCTATATTTCTATCACTGTTTTCTTTTATAGTGAGAGATGCAGATACACCATGCGTGGCCATAAGGATTCAGTTAACAGCATAGAGTTTCTGCCATTCTCCAACACTATTCTCACCTGCTCTGCTGACAAGACCCTGTCACTTTGGGATGCCAGGACGGTGAGTAAGCTGCTGTTTTTGCAAGTTGGTGGAATTGTTCAAATACAGTGGTCATTTGAAATACGAAAGAAGTGGAAACTTGTCCAGAAAATTAACAACCTACATAATGTGGAGACTCAGTAATAGAATATAAATACAGCTATTTTATACTGACCAAAAAGTTATTACCATATGCTGTCTCTTTGGTGAGCTTGTAAATTTGTTGGTCACCTCAGTCCAGGGGCTAATAGGTAGATATTCACATCACAGAAGAAAAGTTCGGCTCTGGATTGTCAGTTGTTCTCTTTGTTGGTGAATCTAGAAGACAAGTTAGGGGCTTTGCCATATGTGCTATATTAGTTCTATGGATAGAGTATTTGTCAGTCACTCTTTGATAAGTTACTGACAAATGGAAAAATGGGGTAGGAAAAATAGAGGACACACCAATGTCTAGGGCTAATATGTTTGCTATTCTTTTTGGTAGAATGGCCTTCATAGTTTAGTGCTGACCTTTCATGAGTTATGGGTCATTCTTTCTTAATGGAAAATATTTCACAGTGGTCATTGACAGAAGATTTGCATCTCTCTGTCTCGTTCTTTTCTATGGTCATTCTTTGTTATGCATAAATGGATCAATAAGCATTGCTACAGTATATGCAGGATTGAATGTGCAGTTGATAATTTTTCCTTTGTCCCTGTTGCTTTGCAACCTCCCTGTATTTTGTGGCGTTTATATTCAAAACTAAAGTTAAATGCCTGAACAAAATGATAAAGGATAGAAAAACAAATATTCACTAGGAACTGAAACAAGAAGTATTTATTTCCTCTCCCATTTGGGAGAGGGGCAGGGGGTATAGAGAAGGGAACAGGACAATAATTAAAACTAAGAGGCTGCTGAATGTATCACTTTATCATGGTTTTCCATCTACACTTCAGGAATTCTTAAGTAGCAAAATGAGCAACAGCCCTTTGGACACTTAACTTCTGCTGCAGCTCTGCTCTGTGGCAGTCAGCAGCAGTGGGCTTGGCCTTGCCCAGCCAGGCAGAAGCAAGGCAATAGCTTTGTACTTGGCCAGGTCAGAGCTAGAGGGGCCAGAGCTAGAGCAGAAGGTAATATGGGAGGGGAAGGGAACGGGTAGGTGGAATGACGAACAGTGTGTAGTCTCCCCCATGCTCCTCCTGCGCCCTACAGCTCCCCAACCACAAGTTATGCCCCCCAGCTGCATGTCCTCCTCCCCCTGCTATACAAGCCATCTTGGGCCCAAAGAGCTGAGTTATTTGAATCTGACAATTGTTATTTGAATCTGACAATTTTTCCCCCATGTTGACTGAGGCAAAGAACCTCATCCCAGATCTGAGTAAATGCAGTAATTACGTGAGACTTAGAAGGGGAGAAGGGATATCTGCATATTTAAGAGTCATTGCTGTAATAATTATGCACATCTTAGGTGAAAAAGAAGCTCACATGAAGAAGACAGTGGAATATTTTTTAAGTTTATTAGCTAATATCTGTTTATGGGGCCACAGAAAAAGACAGAATGGATGGTAAATTAATATATTGAGCATTCAGTGACTCAAGTTAAAATGAAGACTCCTTGTTTTCATATATGCAAGTTTCCAGGAAAGTTGATCACAAAAATATACCTAATTCATACCCAGATATCAGTTGGCAAATTCATTATGAGCATCTGCTTCCTTCATACTAAGTGATCAGGCTATATTAAAGTGTCTTCCCAGAAAGAAGATAAATGATTTAATCCCATTAGTTTGGAACATACCATTTTCTTACCTTTTGGGATCAGTTAGCATTAAGGAATACATTTAAAGATTATTTTAATAAAATGTAAAAACTGCACAGTAGTTTGTTTTCCTAAGAATTAGCTTCACATTAATAATCACATCCTGCTCATAAACTATTAGCTCTTTATCATTAAAGGAATTGCTAGTCAGTTGCGTGTAAGTTGAACAGACAAATCAGCTTTGTATTTTGGGGGAAAAGGAAACAAAAATCTTTGAAATTACTAAGGCAAAACTATAAAACAGCCTGCAGAATTTGGAAATGCATAAAATTAGTGGTTTTTTTCTGGGTATCACACAGGATTTGTCCCAACCATATGTAAAATTTAATCTATGATAGCTGCATTAAATTAAAAATGAAGGTTGCAGCTTGTTTTCAGGGAAATAAGATTACAAAAGGTAAAATAGTATTTAGAAGAACATGGATTTTTCCAAGTTTTGGAAAGAAATGCATTATATTGTTGGATTTCACTGGCAGCATGCTAATACCAGGCTAAATTCCCCTTGGGATGATTGTATGTAGTTGAAGACACAATTCTGTGGTAGGAATCTCTTTCTAATAAAGCTGAAGGTTTTCATGCCACGGTAAGCTGTTGAATTTATTTCTTCCCTTATGCCAGTTTCATAGAAAGACAAGTGCATTCTGGCATTTCACCAGAATATTTTCATGCTGACACATCAGAGTGAACATCTTCTTGCCTTATGAATTGCAAAATATATCCAATGATAAATGTAAGATTTGTTAAAGAACCTCAGACCCTGAGAGCACAAGTTCACTTGCCTGGTTAATTCTGCTCATGATAAGCAAGCTGCCATTCATCTGTATCTCTCACAGTCTGATGAGTGATTTCTCGAGACAGTCGAATTTGTCTGGATAAAATAGAAACCAACCTGAATCTTTACTGTTCTCAGGCTGCCTACAGACTGATGTTTCCAACCATATGAATAATTAACAAAAATAAAACAAAGGAAAGCAGAATCTGGTATTAGTTCACATGTATGAAGACATTCAATGTAAATATTACTTCTTGTGCTTTTTGGGGCTAAACAATACTGCTCTATGTGCATCTTTTGTAAACAGAGGTTTCCTGTTCTGTAAAAGCTATATGGTAATTTATATAGCAGTTGTCAAAAAGTCTACATTTACTAACAGTCATGCACACATATTTACATGTGCATTTAACTATATCTATGAGAGTATTCCTTCTGACTCCCATGTGACCACTAATATCTCTACAATGAAGCACATACATTAGTTTCTGTAGAATTAGGGTTACACTGGTTTATTTTCTATTTAACAATAGAAGGGACTACCAGGTGTCTCAGGTATCTTTGTATAGTAACAGTTAGCAAATGTCGATTTCCCTCTCCACCCCCTAGAGGTAGCCATTCACACTCTCACTGGCATGTTCCATGATTTAGTTCATTATCAAGGATTTCCTTCAGACTTTGCCACTTTTTTGCAGGGTAATCTAACAATTTCAAACAAGTGCTTTATTCTTCTCTTTATACTCTGTCTGCAGGAGAATGCTGGCATACTAGTACAAGTGATCCTGTTCCTTCCCACTGTGAAGGAAGGTTGTCTCATCTCTGGCATTGAAATAGGAAGATATTAAACATGTCATATTTTTAGTGTTTAGATTTAAAATGGCTTAAATAGTAGAATGACAATTTAGCACAACAGTGACCAAGCCTGTGTTCTAACTTGAGTAATCCATGGGCTAAATCAAAAACTAAAAGCTCTGAAGTAGTGTGGTGTCATTGATGAATAATGGAGACACCAACCAAAGGGGCAGAAGAAACCTAGATGATATTGCCCCAAACCCAGACATTTCTGCCTTAGCGACTTCAAATACCTGTTAATGTTAACACATTTTCATAGTGTTAAATAGTGGCTTTGGCTTGAGTCAGGGCAAGCAAGGACACTGGGGTGCAGCAGGGCTGGGCAGAGTGAGCACCACAGTCCCAGAACACCCAGCAGTCATGGTGCCTTCTGCCACTACTCAGACCAGACAAAGTGAGCCAGTCCCAGTGGTGGTGGGTGTTGGGGGGGGGGGGTAGTGCCTCCCACAACTGCTCAAATTGGCTCACTGCTTCCATCAGGCAGAGCAAGCCAGTCTATGCAGTAGCAGGAGGTGCTGTGGTCACTGGGCACTCTGGAGCTGCAGTGCTCAGTCTGCCCAGTGGGAGCAGTGGCCCTGCCCTGTCCCTAGCTACTGTTTTCTCAGGATAGAGAATTTTTCTGTTCACCATCCAATTAGGCAGTGTGTTGTTGGGAGAAGAGTAACTGCCTACTCTGCCTGCCCATTCCCTAGTCAGTTTATGGGCAGAAAGATAACGGGGCAAAGACAATTTAAAACTTAAAAATGGCTGTTTGTTAGATTTTAAAAACAAGCAGCATATAAAAAATTGCACAGATCTCTGAGACAGTTTTAATTTTTAGATTCAAATCTACTACAGAGCTCTGCTAAGATGATTAATGTTTGCGTGTCTTTCAGTGTAAGGTGTAACAAGCCCTTACACTCACCTTTTGAGACTGGGAAAGAGGAAAATATCAGAAAGAAACAACTAGTACAGGAAAAAAAAGTAGTGTCAGGCAAAAAAGGGAGGACACTGGGCTAAAGCAGACTGAATTACTAAAAAACTTAGAATTGGGGTGGCAGTGGAAATATCAGATCACCTTACTCCTATTCTTCCCCCTTCCACTCTCCATGATGTGACTTGTAGACTTTTAGTACTTGTGGTCTGAAACAACTCATCAGTAAGAATAAGAGGAGAGGGTGTGTTAAGGGCACAAAGGGGTCCCACACCCTAGGCCTCAAGAATGCTATTTTCTCAGGATAGAGAATTTTTCTGTTTGCCATCCAATTAGGCAGTGTGTTGTTGGGGGAAGAGTAGCTGCCTACTCTGCCTGCCCATTCCCTAAGCAGTTTATGGGCAGAAAGATAACAGGACAAAGACAATTTAAAACTTTAAAATGGCTATTTGTTAGATTTTAAAAACATGCAACATATAAAAAATTGCACAGATATCTAAGACAGTTTTGATTTTTAGATTCAAAGCTGAGCTCTGGGGTTGATCTCAGAATTAGTGTTTTGTGCTGCCAAGCAGAAAAACCCAAATCTAAAATAAAGAAATAACTTTGAATGTGAGGACCCAGGATCACAGTCCCTTAGGTACCAGATCAGATGGATTAGTGATGGTGGACAATACTTAACCATGCA